GAATCCTTAAATTTACATAACCAAGAAACAACGGTTTTTATTAGGGTTAGTCATCTATTGCCAACAGTCTTACACGATAGTGAGCCAATTGAAGGGCCATTTGAATGTAGGCATCGGGAGATAAGTTGCATTTCTTCATGAAATTCTTACCTAGAAAGAACATGATCACCAAGTTTAACACTACATTGTAAAAAATCTGTCAATCAGAAAGTCAATTTAGTACTGACACTAACTAATCGTTTCTGTTCCAATCTTTCTCACATATTCGACAATCGAGAAGTATAAAAATAAGTCTACAGATGAAACTTTGACGAACAACACTGTTAAACAATTTTTGTGAATCCTACACTTCAGGACTACTTTTGATGGTATAGACATTTTTTAGGTTTTAGCAGATATCATCTAGTGAATGAATGATTTACCATAAGAGTCTTGAATGTAAACATGTAGATCAACATCATTACACAAGAGTGTAGCTTCATTGAAACTTTGTTCAATCAATTTTTTACACTAGACAACGTTGATTCATAACATAAGAAATTGTTTAAAAACAATGCTTCTTACGGCATCCGGAATACACCATTCAAGTTTGATTGGTCGGAGAGCATTGAAACGTGGAATACCGCGCGTATTGCCATTTTCATCATAGCTAGAAAAGTATCAATTGATTATTTCTCTTCAATTTCGTATACTACTGTTAATTAGACCAAAAGCTTACCCTAACACAATGATATCTTCCGAAAGAATATATTCGGCCATATGTCCACATACGGGTGCATCAGCCTAAGCGACGTGAACAAATAAAACCAACATGATCTATAAAAGAGACTTCATTATCTATCATACCCAACTATGTTCTGCATTGAAACCGAACTAACGACGAAAAGAAACTTCAATTAAAAGAATTATCCTTATCAATAACAACACTTACTACTGCATTTTTGCCGACTACAAAATTAAACGATTTATCGAACCAACGATCATAACCTTTGCCATGAAGCATCGCTCGCGCGTAGTCATCGAATTTGGGACTCATGCTCTAGATAATAAAAAAAAGTCTGTCGAATACAATTAAAGAAATAACAGTCAGTCATTGTCATTGTGAATAAACAAATTAAATCATAAGACAAACATAAATAGAGATTAGAAATGTCGAAAACATCTGCTTGAGATGACAATTATTTCAACGAGTTCTCAAGGTGATTAACTAACTTTGTAAATCGATAATCGAGGATGGACTTGTTTTCGTTATAAGTCTATAGTTTGCCAGAATAAACGGATATTAACCCGACTTACCCTTCCAATCTCGAATTCGGCATCTTCTAAAATCAGAACGAAGGCTGCTTTTTCGATTGCTTTCAAGGATAAGCGATTGCAGCCAGTAGAAAAGAATGTTTCACGTGTCGTAGCCCATAATGTACGGTCACCGGCGGTTAGGGCAGCAAGATGTTCTTCGCCATCGGCGGGCAACGTTTCGTCTCGAATGATCTCATCTAATTGACTAAGGAAAACCAACGTTTGAACTATTCTTCTCCACTTCTTAGAATATTCCTGAAACTTACATTTGCAATTCGCATGGTTTCAGGAGCTTGCCTTTATGATACATAAAGACTTGGTACCAACGACCTTTGTGATAGACAGCAATATGATGACTATCGGGATAGTGTACGATGCTATCTAGAAAAATCCAAAATGTATCCTTCAATGTTCAAAAAAAAACGTTTTCTACCCATTTCTTTTCCTGGAATGCGAACAGTATTGAATTGCCGTTCATATTGACTCGAACAGAGTGGAATCAAATTGTGAATCATCAACTAAACAATATTGAGAATGATGAGAAGTATTCGAAAGTATTGATCATTCGTACCGGTTTCATTTGTTGAAGTTCCAATTCAGTACGATACTTGAATGCCGCATAAACTATGTTAGCAGCACGTGCTGTTTGTTTCATTGTCGAACGATCGAAAACTGCATCCTGAAAAATCTCCGTCGATTCAATATCAATCATTTCTCGATGAACTACTTACGAGACAGTAGAAATTACTGTTCACCATTATTGGTGATCGACCGCGAAGATAAACAAATTTTTCCCACCAATCAGTTATCTAAAATGTATGAGTCCACATTAGAATAATAAGAAACATTCGATCATTACGCACATAATTCGATGAGAAAAACCATTTGAACCAAAGATATCGTTGTAGTTTGCGTCCAATGGTTTGTTTGAATTCATTTGCTAATTTTTCTACACGTTGATATTCTTCGTCATTGTAGAGTGGTCGAACTGTTCTTAAGTAGCGTTGTAATGTATCATCTAAACTTGGCAACGGTAAGGTTGGTAGAACACTTTGACATGAATACAAAGATGGATTTCGACCGACAAATAATTTAACGAGACCCATCCAAAGTTTTGGCATCAGACCAACACTTTGACCATGCTTTTGATACATCCAGCCATGATAAGAAAACAAGGCTTTCAAGGTATATTGTCGAATTTGTATAACACAAATGTATGCACCAGCAGCGAAGGTGACACAAGCAAGAATTGTGGCATTTTTCGATTGAAAATAACGTCGAAAAATGTGTTCTTCCAGCCAAGTAATAACACCGAATGATGGATCATAGCCTTTGAAGTACAGTGCTGGAATGGCGCCACAACAAATCAGACCACGAATCGGATGACCCGGATATAAGAAATTGTGAAGTGAATTCAGCGTACGATGACAACTTAATCGCCAAGAACGTAAACAAGAAAAGTACCAATCTTTAAAAACATCATAGCGTAGATCGACATTGAAACCTAAAGAAAAATGTTTTCATGGAAATATATGTTTTCTTCGATTTCAATCAAGCAATGCATTCTACCTCCAGGACCAACAGCAAATGAAAAGGCAACTGCTTCATGAGCTTCAGCCATGTACAATCAATGGTATTTTTTATTCTATTATTACAAGTACTGACACAAGGTCAAGATGATCAATAGAGAAACTTACAATTTGCGAACATGTACTTTGACCAAATGAATTTTTCTTTTGTTCTTTAGACGCGCGTGTGCATCAGTGTGCATTCATCTCTGCCTAGGTTATTCAATGAAGAAACATTAGAGATAAGAGAAAACAAATGCAAAGTAAAAGGCAAACACAAAAGAAGACAAAGTATGTAAATCACGAGATAGAAAAAAGAAAGTTCTATTTTTTTCCTTACCTTTTCTTAACCCATCGACACACCTAGTTCGTCATATCACCTTTACATAATAACGTTTGGCAATGTTACGTAAATTCTATAATGTTGTTTTGATGTTGCTCTAGACTACTGTGATCATACAATTGTATAAGTTGAACGCTTTGACTTTTTTCAATTCATACATGACATGACACAGTTACTTTGACAAAAAAAGAATCGGATTTGATTCGGATTTAAAAGTTGTCTATTGTTTTTCAACACTACTTTTGCTTTGGACGGAGCCACATATTTATGATCATCATTATTGTCTTTGAGTGTTTCGAGTGGAGAGTCGATTGTTGAAGGCACTTGAGTTTCTTTTAATCTGTTTTATATGAATATTATCATCGAAATTGATATTCAAGAAAGAGTCATTTGCTCACTCGTAGTCAAGTAAATACGAAGTGGTTGTTATAGAACATTTTGTAATAGAATGCAGACATTTGCATCAATCAGTACAAGAATACAATCGTGAGGACAAATATTTAAAATCAATCGTTGTAGGAATGATTTATAATTCGATAAGGGTGAAACATGTATTGTGAGTGGGAAGATAGTGTAGATACACTTTGAGAAACAAAGGTTTACTGTCAAACATTAAAGTATTAGATTTCGTTAAATGAAAATCATTTTGAACTCTTCGTGGATGTAGAACGATACCTATGGAAGTATCTTTTATTTTACACATCCACATCTACATGTTCAAGCCCATACTGTACTATCTTTATTGTTTACTACATAGTTTGATCTTGTTTCCCTGAAAATTTCTAAGCCATTCAATGAATAATCAATACAGTAATGAAAACTAAGCCTTTTCGTAGTGTGTGTAGAAGGTCGTATTGTGGAAGATGCTAATAAAATGTACTGATAATATTTTGTAATTATCAATAGAGCCATCTGATGATCATGCATTTTGTGAATAACGTAGTAAGAAATACGTTAGATTTTTCTTCGTATATGCGATGTCTACGCAGATAAGTCAATGGAAATCAGATATTTGCATCAAAACATAAATTTAATGTTGGTATTAGGCACTTTCTACTACGACGTACGTCGTGGTGCACTATCGTATTTAGTTTTGTGTTTCAATTTTAAAAGTTTAAGCGATATGTCCTTTGAAGCTTAGTAAAAAAAATATAAATGCGAAAATTTCTCAATACTATATATTTATAAGTACAATTTTCTATTTTGCAGTAGTCAGCAATAAGCATTGACAAAATGATTTATACATTATTAATAGTACTCACTGTGATGTTGCATTCTCCTGTTCTTTCATTGTCCACCACATCGCTACGCAACCTTTTACAATTCAGTAATATGATCAAATACAAGGGGTACAATGTTAGTGATTACAATGGCTACGGTTGTTGGTAAGTATAATAGCATACCATTGTTCTGATCTTTGACTACCTTTGATGTGTAATAGGTGTGGAGCTGGTAATCATGGTCTACTAGCATTGGATGCTACAGATCATTGTTGTCGAATACATGATCAATGCTACGACCGGATTTCTGGGGGATTTTTTGGTTGCTCGCCAAAGATAGTCACATATGACTGGGAAAAACTACCGAACAGAGTTATTCACTGTACTGATCGAATAGGAACGTGTGATCGGAATACTTGTGAATGCGATAAAGCAGCTGTTGATTGTTTTGAGCAACATCGAGTTACATACTCTTCTGATCGCGTCAAAATAGGGAATTCAGCTTATATGAAAAAGCGTTGTAGTACTTGATATATTTGTCAAAAACAATTGTCAATGCAACCCTTCCTGGAACCGAACTGTGAAACTCACAAACTCTGGCTGTTATAAAGTTTTGATATATTATCAGAGCTTTTAAAATAATTTATTCTTAAAAAATTTTAAATAAATAAAAGAATTCAAATTTTGAACCGATATCTTTGTTAGTCTTAAAGAAAATTTATTTATTTAAACGACATTCACATAAATATGACCGAACACGTTTAATTTCAGTTTATATCAAAGATGAACGTGTTTTATGATTAATTATTGAAGGATGAGTTACTATTCATTTTCATACCGGAGAACATATTATTAATTACCTATCAAATATTAGTAATTTTCTTGTAACTTGATGTTATACAACGAATAGAATTCATTGACAGTTTTAAGTTCTTACGAACGGCATGATTCTCTTGATTAAAATTGATGTTTCGTGGGAATCCGAAATAATCGATTAAAAACCTAAACAATTAAAATTCAGTGAAAAGATACAATTCTCATTTAATCTTACCTTGAATTACAAAATTACGTTTCAATGTATTTACCTATTTGTCTCATACTATCTATATGTGTAGACAATAGTACGTATTATAGATGTTATATAATATAATGACAATGTACCACATCACAAAGCGAATTCTTTTGTAGTATAAGCTAGCGCTATAAACCAGTGATTACTGTTGAAAAAGCACGTTTATCAAAAATAGGCACAAATAATAGTGTCATTTAAATTAATTTCAAACTGATTTATCACGAAAAAAACTTTTCACGAATCTAACTTACGATGTGATAATGGAATTATGGGTATTGAATTGAATGCATATGACTGAGATGAAGAAGATCTTTATCTATATCCACACCGAAATTCGAGATAACATATCGGATTTGAATCTTAAGAAAAATACTGATCATCGATGTGTATGGTTAAAATCAATTAACAAATAATAACAGATTAAAATTCATTTACAAGTGATAATAGGTAAAAATTGATTTTAATCTATTATAAATCAAAAACAACAAGTTGATTGAAAACAGATTTCTTTTCATCTTTTTTTTTTACATGGGTGACTGACTACAGCCAGAACATTATCTATATGTTCTCACAAGCTTCTCAGTGTCATTTGGTTGATGTTTCCTTAACGTTTCATAATGTGTACCAATAAAAAGATGAATAAAGTCTACTAATTCATACCAATTTTGATCGTTCTTCAGTCGATCAACATACTGGTATGCATAAAATTCGTCCAAATCAATCATTTGTGCAGGATGTATGTAATGCCAACTGCTTGGTTCCTTAACTTTTAAAGTTGCTCTTAATCCAAACTCTTTAATGATTCCATTAGGCGAGCGTCTCCAAAGTCCTGGTAATATAGTCATGTTGTATCCTAAGCTGAAGATAAGACAAGACAAGGCAACATCAGATGCTCCGGCGGCCGAGTGGTTTGGTTGAGGCCAAATCGATTGAACATAAACGGATAAATGAGGATACAATTCTTCAACAAGTGCTGCACTAAATATATGTGCCGTATTGCCACCAACAAATAGACTATTATAAGAAGTTCCGTTCTTGTGATAGCATATTCCTTCACCAATTGAACCTCCAATAAAATATGGCTGTGTAAAATTATATGGATCGAGTTGTTTGAGAAGATGTGGTACATTTACATAAGTATCACAGCCAACTAAAAGATACCATTTGTGTCGTTTAGATGGATGTATTGTTTGCTGTTTTCTATAGATTAATTCGAGACCATAAAAGATCTTTTTAGTATTCGATTGATAATCTTCACCAGTATTTTCTATAACTGTGATAGGTAGACTTGGATACGGCTTCGAGCCGAGAAAATAAGAATTAGTCACGCGAGATACCCATGTATCTCGCACGCTCTTTGCACGTGTTGCATACAGTGAAGCGCCTGTATAAATAATAAAGGCAACGTCGTTTTCTTGATATCTTTGTGCTCTCTGCCAACCACTAGTTGGTTTTGGAATTTTCGAACAATAAACTTTAAGATTTTTGGCTGGATGTAATCGATCTTTTATCCAAGGATATTCCAAAGATTTCTTTTTGTAATCACACACGAAACTCTTACGCAAAGAACTTGCACGGAAAAATATAACGGACGAGTTAAATAGTCGAGGGACATAAGAGATATCATTATAGTAATATGAGATCCATTGAAATAGTAAATATAGAATCAAACAAATAGTAATATTAAGTATGAACGAATTATAAGAGATTTTCATCTAAAAAGAAATTTTCGATTTAGAATAGATAATATCGAACTTCACGATATCTTCAGTTCCCAAGTGAAATCTCTTGATAGCGCAAAAAGCCTATCGTCTATTCAAAAACTTTCTGATAGAAGCAACATGAGAGTCTATAGATCTCTACATGACTTCCTGAAATCCGAACAGTTGTCTGCTGCAATTTTTTATAACTTGGCTTCTCCATATCGTTGAACGTATCTTTTATATACACAACTAGGAGAGAGAAGGGAGATAGTTCACGATACATAGTTACAATAGAAAGAAGAATAAAACATGTAATACGAAGAGATGATAAAGGAAGAACATACACCACGCACGAACAGCCAACCCAACCAAGCAATGAGAATAGATAAGGGCGTATAATAGACTCAACCGTGAACTTTACACTTGAGTAAGTTATACTTTGTTTTGAAATTTTTCTTCAGTTCACTTACTTATGGTGTTTAATGACGAAGTTAGATAATTTTAAGTTCAAAAGAGTCTGCATGTCGAATCATTGTTGCTGACGGGCATTTTTTAACACATATTGCTCATCACCGGTTAAGTCCTATAATTAGCTAAAAATTTACTTTAAATATAGATAAAGAAATTTGTATCAGACATAAACTCGAAAGTACCAGGCGAAGAAAATGTTTTATTGAATTATTATTAATAATCAAGATTAGAATTAAAGTTTTCTGTAAATTTTGACAACAAGGAAAAAAACTTGAATTGTCTAAATGACGTTCAACTACAGGGTTGTGCATAACCTTTTGCTAGGGAGGTAGCGCCATTATTTCAAGTTGAATACCTAATGAAATTTATACCAAATTAAAGAGCGTCGAAAACTGGATTTCTTAGTACTAAATAGTAAGGGTTATCAAAATATGTTAATGTCGAACTTACGAAATTTTCGGAAATTTTATGCTTTTTTTAGCATAAAAAATTAAGGCACCGGCAATTTTTTATAGGTAAGAAAAATACTCGATTTTTTCAATAAAATTAGGTTTTTTCATTATTTTTACTAGCAAAGACGCTTCGAGATATACTCGTCAGATGCAGTTTTTCACATTGCACCGGAGGAGTATATTTCGAAGTATCTTTATCAATAAAAATAATGAAAAAAGCTAATTTCATTGAAAAAATCAAGTGTTTTTCTTCCATATAAAAAAAACGAGTTTCTAGAGATTTTTTAGGATTTTACAAGTAATTTTTTAAATTTTGTATCTGAAAAAAATGGCTTAAAAAATTTCTGATATATACAGTTTTGTAGAGCTCGACGAGCTCTATCGAACCATATAAAAATATCGAAAGAAAATATCTTACTCTATATTTGAATTGGTGGTGCCTTCATTTTCTATGGTAAAAAAAGCATAAAATTTCCGAAAATTTCGTAAGTTCCACATTAAAATATTTTGAAAACTCTTACTATTTAGTACTAATAAATCCATTTTTTAACGCTCTTTAATTTGGTATAAAATTCATTAGGTATTCAACTTGAAATAATGGCGCTACCTCCCTAGCAAAAGGTTATGCACAACCCTATATATATGAGCGGCTATTACACTATCGCAAAGACTTAAAGCAGAAACAAGATTATTTCAGTTATGATCATTATATAAAGAATGATTTGACTTTAGTAGATGATATCTAAAAACTTGTACTAAATTCTTCCAGATATAATGGATCTGACTTAAATATAAACCTATAGATATGGCAATGTGAACAAGAGTTTGATAGTAGTAGTATTAGTATTTCAGTAACATCATCGTTGAGTTCATTAACGCTAACGTTTTATTGACGGCTTTAAAATATTTTTCGATCCAAAGTGAATCTAAAGCATAGGTTGTTTTTTAATATTGCAACCAACGATGCCTATAAAATGTCAAATAATATACTGATTATTCTCGCTATATTTTGACGTCATTTTTTTCAAATGCATAGTAATATGTTCTTTTTTCACTGAAAGCACGAATAAAAAACATAATATAACCCTTGCTAATGTCCTCGAATGTAATTCGAAGCAGTAAATCGAATCATGATTATCATCAAAATAGAGAGAGATGTTAGCTAAATTAGATAGTTGGATTATGATGTTGGAAGAGATGCTAAGATCAGTCAAATAAAATCGATAAAAAAATACGTCAAAAAATGTCTTTGTTGGCTTGGGAAGAAAGTTGTGAACATAATCATACTGCGAGATTAAAGTGTGAACAATGATATAGCTATTACAATAAATTATAAGGTGACATTTTAATTGTATCTTACCTAAAATAGTTTTTTTACTTCATTTTGCAATTTTTCTTAGCAATTAAAACTTTCAAAAATAATACTGATTTGAATGAAGTGATTGTTGATATTTGAAGTGATGATTCAATTTCAAAGTCAAGAGGTTTATTATTACCATGAGTTGAAACTTGAAAAATGTTATTTTTATTTTGAGTAGAACGTGATATTTAAATATTTTCATGGCTTTATAATGTCTTTTACACATATAAAACTAAAAAGAAATCTTTTTTTTTAAAGACTACAATGTTTAAAAAAAAATAATTAATAAGAGTACCAAGCCAAATGTATTGATATTAATATTTCATTATGAGTCAATACATAGTTTCGAATCAACGATGCTAACGAATCTTCCCTATAATATTATTGCAAATATGTATGAAGTTATGCATTTCTATTTACGAATATCCATACATGTTGGACCACTACCTTGACAATTACTTTTCACTTAATTAAAGGATGAACGTCAATGAACAAATATATGTGCTACTGATAGCAGAACGATGCGATATATAATAAGAAAATATTTTGCTAAACCATCTTTTACATTTCAACATGAGTTGCTTTTCTTTTTCAAGAAAAAAAAAGATCAAGTTTGTTAATCAAATTTGAATTAGCTCCATAATAATTTCATGTTTTACAAATAACACAATAATCCTCAGATGACATTAACAGATCATCCTAACAAATTCACCTAATAAAACACATAAGTTTTTTAATTAAATGACGTCAACATGAAATAAGTTAACCGATTAATTAACCTGTCGTTATGGCTGAGTAACTTTCGTAGTGAGTAATTATATCCTACAGGTTTGGAACTTTTTATATTCTTCTAGATAGTACAGTCATTCATCTTCGATTTATTCCGTTCTTCAATCACAAGGGGATGCCTTTTACAATCATATTGTCGGTCATAAATTCGTCTATACACTCGAACACAATCTACTAGCTAAAAATGACGATCAACATCAAAGAATATACGTATTTATCTTCAATATAATTGATCATATTTTCAATCATGATTAATATTTATTTGGCTGAGAATCATACTCGTTGAACTTGGGTTATTTAGAATTTCGTGCTTAAGAAAAGATAACCAGATATTAGGAGTTGATTTCAGTCTAGTTTTTCTGAACTAGTTCTTACCGACTTACATACATCCCCAATACCTAGTATAGTCTTCATTTTATGCTTTGATTGAGAAAAATCAAAAAAAGATTCTATTCTATTGTCAAAATCTTGCCAAATACTAACATCATTCAATTGAGAAAATATTTAGATATTACAAATCCTTAAAATAAGAAGTTCAAAATAGTATAAGGGAAAAAAGTTCGCGGCATTTTTTCTATCGATATATCATTGCAATAACTTGAGAGATTTTAACAAATAAATTCTTGTGTGCAAATTATAGAGCTTTTCACGCTGCATCTTATGGTATATTTTGTTTTTTTAATGGAAGGTATTAAGTAATAAAAAATTGACATGCAAAATGCGGCCGTTTAATCTGTCCTACCTGTTTTTTTTTAAGAATCAAAAATGCATGTAACAAACTTCCTTTATTGATGCTCTTACTTCTTGAGCTAGAACCTTTATTTTTACACAATAAGTGCACTTTGAAATACTCTTTAAAATGACTATTTATTTTTTGAAATTGCTCAAGTAGTTGCAAAGATATATCAATAGAAAAAATGTCACGAACTTTTTTTCCCTTATCTTAACAACCGCACGGTTTAGTTCGCATTATGTTTCTATCAATTATAGTATCCTTTTTACGAATTGATAGGACTTTTCGATGTATTAAGTAATAATATCGACTACAAATAGATGTTACTTACCCTTTGTGAAGAAATCATATTATTATTGAAAGAAAGCTTCGTTCGTTCTTAATATTAACAAACGTGAAACATAACACGCTAAAATAGAAGTTGTTACTTTTAAAAATTCCAAGAGTTATGAGTTTTACTTTGTATATCTTCGTAGAACTGATTGTTAAAGTGATGTATTAAGCATAACAGTTTTTTGCCAATTAATTCAAGAATTTCAACCAAAAGGTTTCAAGTATGGTAATTACCTAAACAGATAAAAAATTAAGAAACGAAAAACAGTACTAAAGAAATATTAACCGTTATCGAGTGCTAATCACAGTTTCTGATTGTCATCCAAAAATATCCAAGAAACCACAACGTGAAAACGATCGCTTTTTATACGGGGTAAAACTTTTGACAGTTTACGACTTACAAATTCTTAGTCATTTTGAGGTCTACTTTTTATAAGCGTTTTCTAATTTACAATCGAAAACTATGAATATCATCCTAAAAAATTCAAATTTCCCATGCTTTTCATGCTCCTTTACTTTTTCTCCATTTTTATACCTTTTCTGTTATGCTTTTCCATAAATTTCTTGTTCGCGTCAGCTATTCATATACTTGTCTATCAACTTCCCTACCTCATTGCTACCCTCTTTTTATCTGTATTACGTCTATTTGATTCTTGATAAATGATCATTGTAGAATATCTTAAGTACTTGTTTTCAATACAGTTAAGACTGATTAGAATATAATTTAATAACAAAAATATAGATCGTCTGACGCTAATTCAGCCCCTTCTCAAATTTCTTTATGGTTTGTCTATATTTATTTTTATTTTGCTAATGATTCCACTGTTTCGGGCTTATGTAGGTCAAATCGTGACGTGTAGAATAAAAGCTATTGTGCGTATTCCATTGTGAGAACAAAATGTAAAATACAGTATAGATACCTGTGTTTTAAATAGAAAAATGATTTTATCAATTAATTTTTGTTAGTGCTTAATCGAGGTCAATAAATTATTTCCAATTAACTTGCATTTCTTTTCTATATCTATAACAGTATGTTGAGAGTTCAAATTTCTAATTTTATACTTCAGTAATACTTGTAGATAGTATTTCACAAAAGAGAGAAGAGAAAAAAAATTGATCAAAAGTGGAACTAACTACGTTTTTCCTTAACTGTCTACTTGTCTACCATGTCACAGTTATAAAAAGATATCTTGTTTCATTCTGATTATAAATATGTGACTCAACCAAAAGTGAGTATTATACCGGCATCGTTGTTCTCAGACGATTTTTTTTCTCCTTCCTTCCATCCTGCTTCAAAGAGAAAGTGTATAGTCAAGTATGAGATTAGTTATGTGTGACAGTAGAGAAGAAAAATAAATCGGAAGAGGAACAAAATTCCGAGAATGCAGACACAAAGCTACGGCTTAGAATAGAATGTGTTATATCTATCGTACTTTGTAGCATGAGATGCTCGTTGCGGCACATTTTCAAAATGTAGTTCAAAATCAGTCCTCAAGACTTTCAGATTTAGTAGTCTCGAGCTCGTTTGCTCTCGATTAAACTATTTCATCAACGTAATCGTTTCTCGATCATTGATTGATTTATAATACAATATATTATGAGTGAAATATATTTTCATAATAGAGTCTACACAATATTATAGCGAGCGACATATTTTATTTTAGCGTGTACAGAATATGATGTGACAGAGGAAGATCGTGCATATTACTATTGACTATGATCGATAGCTTTTAATGCCTTACATTATGTCATAAATATTAATTCTAAATAAATATTTCAAAGTACATAATTTACTCTATCTGTCAGTCGAAAATTAGTTTCTAGCATTTTGCGTTTGAACAAGGTAGACCTTGGAATTTGTGTCAGTGGTGGATCAAGGATTTTTTAAACTGATTGATATTCAATATGTTTAAAATAATCACCTATCTTTGTTTCTTATTCATAGATAGATTATGAAATTCTCTTAATCAAAATTACTATTGACAACTGAATTTGATCTTGTTTATCCTCAAGGATTTGTTATAGTTTTGTCCAACATTTCATATAAAAAGATGTGAATTAGACTACTCAATACACATCACTATTATCATGGTTAAATTTTTATTATTTAATAATTAGAAGAATCATAGTTTCGTTAATATTTGATGTTATCCAAGACTTCGACATTATTTAATGAAAGTTTCCAATATGATGGTAACTGAATATGATCAATTTTCATCAATCAACTTATTCAGAATTATGAATTTATAGAACTTTACTAGGCTCTTTCTACTTTTTAGAGTTTTTCTTTGTTCAACACTTAAGAATCCTCCCAAAATGATAATGTACATCAGTTTTCGAAAAAAAAATCATGACTATTTTAATATCTTATACAATTCTTTTGTTGTACGTGATACAATAACTCATACTTCTCATTATTAGTAATATTTTAAAAATGTTTGCTTTACTCTTAATTGATCGATAGAAATGATTCTCATTTGATAAACAGACAATCATATAAATATGGAGAAGAAAATTATTGAACGAGATCAACAATTCAAATACTCTATTTCAAAAAGATGAGAAACAGACAAAATTAATCAGATTATATTTATTAAAAGAATAATATATACTTGAAAGGAATGTTCATCATTTCCTGAAAAGTATTTTGCACGTTAAACATCTCTCAAATCGCATGCAAATAATCTTGAATTAACTCAGGTCACAAGAACAAATCAATATCTCGATAGGCTGAAATGCAGCAGAATAATAAATAAAACATCATTAGCAGAGTGTCTGACATTTTCTTTTGAATTAAATTCTAATAAAAAATAAATCTCTACTAAATTGATCAACTTTATGAAAATTAATGTTGAAGCAACTGAATTAATTTGAATTGAAAATAATAACAGTTTTTCATGTTTAACCTGATACAGCTCAACTCATCAAAGAATAACTTACAATTACAAACAAGTTCTATCAATTCGTATTTAATTCTGAAATAACATCGATTGACTTGAAGTGTAACAAAAAAAAAACTTATAACTATGACTGTAATCATAACAATTAATGGGTTATCATAAAGATTGATGTAGTTAACCTCAAAATTAATAATTCATATATATCCTGAGACAACAAGAAACGACTTACATGTTAAGTCTTTTTTTTGTTCATGTTGCACAAAACATGTCTCAACTTCGTCTGATAATGTTCTAGTCAAACAATTGCTCTCAGTTTGTGTCGATAGTACATGCTCATTCTGTCCATGTGGTCAACGGTTGTGCTGCACCATAATACGACTGATTCTTTAATAAAAAGTGATCCATCTCACTCTACTGAAACGTAAGACTAAATTGAATTATTTTGAATAGATAAAATTAAAATAGAAAATTAAAAATAAATTGAAATGATTTTTTTTATAGAAATTTATTTTTAAAATCAAGATAAATAAACATATAAATATATTCAAATTATTTTGAATTTTCTCAAACTACTAATTCTTTACATCATAGTGCGTTATGACTTATGAAACAGATAGTTACATACTCTGTACACTAATATAACGACATTTATGAACCTATGATTTCATAGTATACAGAATAATCGACAAATCTGTTTGGAAGGATTTGCTTGAAAAAAAGAATCATTAAACAGAGTATAGGTAAAGAGAAAATATGCAATCAGAACCATAACTCTACCCACATTCATACGCATATATACATTACTATTATAAAAAATACTCTGAAATTTATTTTTGTAATAAATGGAGAAGTCAGCTCTTTTCGGTAAATTTCATGTTCTAGCTGAATTCTTATCCTCAAATTACTTCAGAAAAGCTTTTGATACATATTCGTCATAGAACTGTATGGCAAATTTTTTCGAAACTAGTCTAGCGTGCAAGGAAAAAGCTGAACTATTTATGATGAAAATAGAATAACACATATCTCAGAAGCAAGATTGAAAGATTAAAATTGTCTCTTCTGAAAACTCAAAAAATATGGATGTTACAATAGCATATAATCTCTAAAAGTTTCTTCTAGAAAACCTCAAGTTATCTGATGGCCCTCTTATCACTACCTCAATAAATTTACAATAGAACTACGACTCCTAAGCATGATCGAGTCGGTTTGATTTCATCTGTCTAGTTACTTTTTTCTCAAGAGATTTCGCTAGAAAGACGAATATGTCAATCGATAAAATTTATCCAATGTTTTCAGTCTTTGATCGATGCTCATAAAGAAGACTGAATAGGATGTATTTTGTGTAAAAGTTCTGCAATGTATTGTATTTGAAAAATCAAGACGCCTCTCCAATTTTATGAATAAAGAGTTTTGATTTGATGTCCAGATCTGTGATGCCGATTATCTTCATTGATATTCAAATACTTTTGTCAGGGCTTCTTTATATCTTTGAAAAATTTCACCAAACGTTCTTGAACTCACTATCATTTTACCTTTCTAAGAAATGAAACTCGTGCCGTACACCACATCCTAATTCTCAGTAAAATGTAACTTTTGTAAAGATCACTCTATTTAATGTGTAACAGCTATTGCTATCAAGACTATCGATTGTATGCATATACAGAGCATCCACAAGTGCACGTTTCTTGAAATCAATTTCTGGACATTAAAGTGTTTCATTTCATGTTTTATCATATTATATTGTTGTCATTAGTTACTGCTGAATTTTAACTCTAATTGTATCGTTAGTCTAATAATTTTAGAAACCAAATATACTTACGCGCTAAGTAATAATGGAATGTGCGAGGTTCTTTTTTTTGTGTTTCTAGTCGATTTTGCTTCTTATTGATTGTCGAAAAAATTACTTGATTTTTTCCTATAGTGTATGTTTACATCAATCAATCGAGCATGATATTCTCATCACATAGGTAGTTTTTTTTCATCAATATGCTCGTTATCGTATATATTTTGTTCTTTCTTTTTTTTTTACTTTCCTTTGCGTTTCTTTTTGTTACGAGAATAACATATACACTAATATTTACATTCACGAGCACATTATGCTTGAGTTATAAAATCTTTCTTTCTCTTGTGTACACGAAACATTAGTTTTTTGGTCTTTATATAAGAGCGACGTGAGGACTATTTTATTTAATGTTGGATTTCTTCATGATCATGTTTCTTTCTATCGATCACATAAGAATCTTGTCTCTCAGAAGAATCAATTGATAGAATTTCATTTTGAAGCTCAATAACAGATGATCATTACTGACGTTAGATACGTCTTTATTGTTTTTCAATAATCAAGATTATGAATTTTAGAGCTTCAAGTTTCAAATCAGTTCCATTTTGTGACCATATATTTTCATTCAATATATTTTACTGACGTTTTCTTCTGTTTTTGCTCTCTTCGTAGATATGATTTATTGAATCGTCCATGTAATAGTGACTTTTTCTCTGAACAAGAATCTTTTTCTTCAAGTTTCAAATTTCGTGCAATGTGGATATAGATTTGCAGAAGATACACATCTACATTCAGTTGTCTTATGTTTCGTTTTTTTGAATAACGACTTTGGCTGATGAGAAGTCATCAAGAGTATCACATTTTCTGTATTAAACAATCTACTATTCAAAGTCTCTCATTAGATCATGTTACAAATTGTCTCATAAGTCTTGTGAAATTTGAATGATTAAATAGAAGAGTTATTTGCGTGAATTCCAATGTTGGTTGAGTATGATCCGATGTCTAGTGAAGGTCTCGATATTGTAATTTAAGTAAAACATCTGCCAGACACAATTGTACAGCTCTCCTGCGATATTGGACAGATCGTTTCAAGTAATTTAGTTGTCTAAAAAGATCAGCTTTATTATGGCAGCACATACAACACTTGAATCATTTCCTGCAAAGTTTCTCTGATAGATTTTCAGAACTTTATTGAATAAGTCAAGAACTTGTTTTTGCTTGAGATAAGGATATGAATTAATAAGAAAATTCAGACTTGTATCCAAGTATATATACACATATACTTGAATCATTTATTAACCTGTAGGAACGTATGAGTAGACACACCTACGCACAAACATTTTTAGTAATATCGGGTGTTATGAGAAGCGAGTACACAACTCACACATGTAATTAGTATATTAATATCAGAAAGAGGGAAAAGTGAAACGACAAGCATATATTTCGCCTACTCTACGAATCATCAAATATTGCAGAGACAGCGTAGTCAATCAGTTGAAACTCGTAAGCAACTAAGGTGCTGCTATGAAAACTCATCTTATGACTGATCATTTCATTAGAACTAAATTTCGTGAAAGCTAAAGTGATGTCTTGTTATTTCAATACTCATCATTCACCGTCCTCTAGCTGCACAATGGGAGAGGCTCGGTAGTTTTTTTTTCACTGTATATTTTGGTTTACAAAATCGATTATTGTTTTGCTCTGGCGAAGACGGTATATTGCAATCCCTTCGCTTTTTGTTACGTGCACGAGTAAAAGAAGCAGAGAAACGACGAAACACTGTTTTTTTTTACTCTCTTACAAATGCACCTAATTGAATATGTTTGCTGTTTGATATTCGTACAAGTAGCAGGAGAAAAGAGAGTTAGAGAATTACCTTTGGCACTACTTATTTGCATTCGTCGTAATCATTCGATAGAGTTTCTTTCTGACGGAATGTCAGACTTTTTCTTTTCTTGCCTATGAATAATTCTTATAAAGTAAGCGGAGTCTATTTGACAAGTACTGATTGACAGGAACGAAAAACGATAGTATTTTGTTTTAAAGACCTATTAAAATTGAAAAAACGACAGAATCAATAATTGTCTAACAGTGAAAAGATTACTATACAATGAGTCGAGCACGTTATACAGTTTCAATGGATGCTCTAAATTCATCGCAATATGATGGACGGATGTCTTCAGAAAATGTTGTTACAGATGGCATTGATATTCTTCGATCTATAAGTTCCTTGTCGATCAAACAACGGCCATCAGTAGCAGAGGGTATATGTGTGAAAATGATATTCGTCATCACTGAATTAATTTTTTTCAGCAATTCTCGGAATTGCCATGCCGGCTAAATTCGACATCTTTACTGATATTGGTGAACAAATTTTTCATGCGTTTGAAGGTTTCCCAATTGAATAAAATTTAAAAAGTAAAAAACTACTATTAATTGTGCTTTAGAATCAGGATTTTGTCAACGTTTGTGGTGTTCAAGCGCTCGACGTTACACATTACATGTCATGAACAATAGGCAACAAGTAAGTTTTGACTATGCTTCATTCGCATAATGTCGATCACTCGTTAGGAAGTCATGAGAATCCATCGAGAATTCACGTGTTGTGCCGGATGTTGTTGGTGTGCTTATTGTTCTGGTTGTCAACAAGAAGTTACAATAGAAGCACCACCTGGTCAAATCATCGGCACTGTTAAACAGAAGTAATTACGTCCTATTTCAAAGAAACATTCCATATAGATCTTCTGACGATTTTCAGTGGTAGTTGTTGGCGAATGCATTATGTACTCAAAGATTTCAATGAAAATGACAATCTAACCATTCTGGGTCCACGATGTATTTGCGATGGAGCGTGTTGTTGCTGCTGTGAAAATAAATTCACTGTAAGTAGTGATGTGTTCTCGTCTACCATTGATTTTCTGATCGGTAAGTGTAAGATGACGATACTTATCTTAGGTGTAAACTCACTTCGAAACTGTATGCGAGATTTGATGGCATTCATCTCGACCTGTTCCAAACAAAACAGATAACCTTTTTCATTTACCTATACCCAATGTTGTAGTATTCACCAGTATCAAGACTAATTACAGATGAAAAAAAGATCTTATGCAACTCTATACATGGATACCATTTGTGAGATTGAGCGAGCACTACCTTAATAGAGCTATGCACACGATTGTCTGGTGAATAGAAATTTTGATGGAATATTGAAACATGGTTAATAAATCATTTAGTTTATTTTGTTTGATATAACTTTGACATTTGTTGCTTCGTAGCTAAATATATTTCTGTATTTTAATAGTTGTTCGGAAGTGATGGTATCACGGAAATTGGAGCAATTCATAAGAAATATTCTGGTTTTTTTAATGAAGCTTTCACAAGTGCTGACAACTATATCTGTGAAGGTTAGTATATTTGGTAGCAGTGGAACTACAGTTTCTTTAAACTTGAAACGCCAAAATAATTGCTAAAATCTCGATCAATGGTTTTCCATTGATGAATATCGTTAAGAGTCCATTTTTTTTGTTAGTTCGTATAAAATAAAGGTATTTTGGATTAACAGTTTATCTTTTTTATTTATTTGTCTGACCATTGATTCAATCGATGAGAAAGACTGATGTCATTTATCTCCGAAAGTTGGAAATCAATTAATACGTGTTTTTGTGTTAGTCATATGAGAGTTTTGAGAAATCGAAACATCATACTTGATATCTATTCTATAGTCATAACGGAGAGCTTAGGAGAGAATCGCAAAAACGTCGATTTAAGTTTACACTCACTATTATTTTCTTGCAAAATGTATGTGAATTTCACAAAAAAATCGTCAGCAAATATCACTAAAAAGTCTTCGCAATTATTGTCTTGGTCAAACATGTCTCTCACATCTAGCATATTTGTTTCCTTACAAAAGATTACGTTTGAAGTTATATAATTATTCTTGAAAACCTATGATAAATTAAAATTTGATCCACTCTATGATTGGAGTACTATGTTAGTTTCCTATAACTTTCAAAAACTAACTCATCTATTTAAATATATCGTTTCTAAATACTAAACCAGTTTTTCTCTTTTTTTTTTCTAAAGCACATCTTTAAAAAGAGCATGCAATCTTCTATAAAATACAAATTGATTATAACCTTCAATAACATCTTATTTTTTACATACAACATGTAGGAAAGTTGATAGAGTTTTATAAGACCTAGATTCTCGTTGGTTTCATTTTCCGAGCAAACAGTTTTTTTTCTCAATGTTGTTGAAGATTTGACTTTGTTCTTTCCATAGGAAAAACAATAAAGTTTCTCATAGCTTCTGCTAAGTGAAGGATTTTGGATTGAGGTTTCGATAATCTGTTTTACATGCCACTCTTTTTACTAACTAACTTTAATCTCTCTCTTATGCTCTTCATAATAATAATAACTGCTCGCCCGCATCAAATTTACACATAGTACTGGTGTAATATCTAAACCCAATGACGATATAAGTTTAGTTCTTTGACAAACAACAATATCCATTCTTGTTTACAATAGAAAACTGTATGATTATTTTTTTTTACTTGTAGTTCCAATGGATCTCGGTGTCAAGATGAAAGCGATCGTGCTTGGAGCTGCTTTTGTCATAGTAAGCTACTCAGTCAAGCATCTATAAAGTAGTAATTACTTTTGCTTCTTTCTTTCCAAAAGGATTTTACAAATTTCTCGACGGTTCCACAAAATAACGACAATAATAACAACTGATTCTTGACTGCTGGCGATTTTCTTCGATCATGTCGTTTTTTCAGCTGATTCTATTTAATCTTCTTACATTTTTTTGTCTTCATTGCTTAAAACTGCAAAACACTAGCTATGAATCTCTTTTGATGTCGCATTCACTTATTTGGCTGCCTTTTTAATTTTATTCGAACAAACAAATCTACATTCTAAAAGAACATTCGATGCATTTCTTTTGTCATAGTTCAGTTTTGAGCAATGCACTTGGATCAAATTACGAAAAAAAAATTCTAGATTTCAAGACGAATCTGCAGTCTAAGCATTTTACAGATACAAAAGACAATCTGATTGTTTTTTTTTCATTCATTTATAAATTGTGTCATGTAACGCAAGAATTTATGTATTGCAGCATCCTTTCTTCTGCTTCATCGGCTTTTTTTTATTGACATTGAACCGCAATGCATAGCGAATGTATTTTCTGTTCAATGATGATATAAAGATCGCAAATTGTACTTATAAAAAGAGAAAGAAATACAAGAAAAAGCTCTATCACATAATCTTTTTGTTCCCATAGCAAAATATCGACAAAACATTAAGAACGAAAGTAGTCAAGGACAAATTCTTTGTTATCAACTGCGATATGAACGGAAGAAAAAAACAATTGAGAAATTGCTTTTTCCAAAACAAAGAGAAGAGTTGTCGACACCAGAGTTCGACTAGAATGAGATCGGAGTACATAGACGTTTGTGAAGGTGTGGATGTGGATATTATCTTCAATCACATCCACACCCACACCCTTCTACAAGAGAAGTTAAACCGAACTAAATTAAGTTCAGATAATTTTAATGAATATCAAAAAATGTACGTTAAGAGTTATCCATGAATAATGAAATAAACATTTTATATATTAGCAAAATATCATTTAGAAAGAATTATTTCTATTTTCTATTTACAATAGACAAACAAGAAAATATATCTTTGAAAATTATTCAATTATTAACAAAATCTTAATACAAAAATTTATCTTATTGCTGATATCTATTGACAATAGAGAGAGATACGATAGTTCTACATTAAGTTTTACTTTAAGAACTTTTTAAAAATTCACTTTTTGATAAATTTATTTAAAAATTTCATCCAAATTTTTGAACATTGAAGTATCTCAAATTTAATTTAAAAGCAAAGATAGTATATTAGGAAATTAATCAAAATAAAGATAATGAGAATAGTTTTAAAAATTAATATTTTCAAAAAGTTTTTGATTTTTCTTAGTACTCTTTTTATTATCAACTTTTTAAAAAGTTCAATATAATAACAGGATTAACTTCACAACAATCTTCTATATTTTTATATTCAAAATTTTATAAAATATTTTCAATTATATTGGACACCAATACTAATTTGTTTTCTTGTTAATTATTCCAAAGTGAAACATGAAAAATTAGTTCTGATTTCATCTTTATTCTTATTGTATAACATTCATGTGTAATTGATTTCTAACTCTTCCTCACTTTATCTGACAGTTGTACGTTCATATTTGTCTCAAAAGAAATAACAATGTAGACTTGCTTTACTCAAACCATCGCTCAATTAATACGCCGATAAGTAAATTAGTATGACAATATCTCTAAACAATATCTCGAACTATTGGTTTCTGTATAATATTTCTCTTCAATTAAAACAGTTTTATTCAAATCTGATAGAGAATATTAATGTTTAACCAAGATTTGATTATCATTATTACTCTCTAAAATATTTTTCATTTTTCAGACTTTTTCAATTAGGAAAAATAAATTTAATCTAATGAATTAACGATTCAAGCTCGAGATAAATAGAACAGGAAAGTAAACATCGTATGGACATGTTTCATTTTCTAAAATCTTTAAAGCTTCATACATACACAGGATTGAAAATGCATACGTAAATATACTATATTTTTTTTATAGAATAAATCTAATAGTTTGTCAATAAATATTTATAATAATTTATCAGAGCAAACCTTAAAGGATTAAAATATGAAACATGACAAAGCAACGTATATTTTCAAAAAGAAAAATTTCACAAAAGATTTTTTTTTTTATTTTTGAATTTTAAAATAGCGTTAATTGTATGGCTGTCATTAAAGAGATGTTAGTTCTAAGATATGAGATCAACTTGAAAAGTAGATCAAAAAGATTTTTCTTAAATGAAACTACCATTCATAATAATTCAACAATTGACTTGAATTCTATAGCTAAATTTGTCATGAAAAAAGGTATTGATCAGATATCTATAATAGAAAGAGAGCAAAGTTTGCAAGATATTTGGTAAGCGAAAATAAGAGTTTAAAATCTAGCTATTATACTGTAACACTCGTTTTAAATCATATTTTACAATTATTGTTAGATTTTTCTATCTTTATTCATTATTTTATTTCTACTTTGGTTTTTTGAAGGATTTTTTTTGTGAGAAATTTAGTTGAAAGTACAATTTACAATTTCTAATCTTCGATATAGTAAGACTAATAAATATTTTTTTTAGTATTAATAATTGTAAAAATAATTGCTTTTTTTTGGTTATTTTGCACATGAAAAATTTTGTTATTATAATTCTGTTTCAACTTATCAAAACCTTATATTTATACAACTAATAGTTAATTGTCTTGTCCTTTGAAGGAAAACAAATTAAATATCAGTGAATCAAAAGGGTGTGGGTGTTGGGTGGGGAGACCGGAATTTCGGCCCAGAGCCTAACTATCTTCAGGATGAAGTGAGGAGGTGAGGGTGATGGTCAAAAATTCTGGGCCGAAATTCCTATAACCCGTTGGATGTTGGGTGTGGGTGTAATTATTCATCTCATCTACACCCACACCCACACCCACCCACATCCACACCCGTCTATATGTGTAGATGACTTGATCTTTTCCACGAAATCAAAAGAATCCTTTGACTACATATGGACTTGTTCTTAAATCAGATAATCTAGTAGAAATTACTTTGCCCAAGCCATATGCAACAGTCATGGGCGGGCCAGGGTCATTTTTTTGCAAAATTATTAAAAAGTGTAAGGAACTTATAAAAAAATAGAATCTTAAATTTTGTTCATATATTTTGATTTTCATACTAAGTTTCTACTGTAGGCATCTTGTTCATATTATATTTATTATTTTCATTCTTAAAAGTAACAAAAAAAATATGACATCACAAACTTTTCATAAAAAAACTTCATCAATACAATCAAAAAAACGGGTGATCGAAAATCATTTGAACAACATGTTTGTTCATTTTTGATCAATCTGAAAGTATTTCCGACGAGTCAAAATCTATGTGTTAGAATCAAAATTTTGTGCTTTTTCAGAATATGGACTTAGAAATTTATGCCGATTTATGTTCGAGAGTAGTGAAACAATCTTTGAAAGGTCCAAAAACTTAGTTTGGACGGAAATTTTGTCCGCACATTTTGTATTTTTACTATTGTCATCCGAAACTAAAAGATGGAACCTTCATTATCATACCAGCTTGTAGAACAAAACCTATCCTACAAAATGTACTGTGTGAGTATTTTTTTTCTTTGGACAAGACTTCTGAGTATTCGTTTTTTTCCTAAATCGTCATTTTTGAAAAATCGTTTTTTTTTACCAAAAGCGTTTTATGTGGACAGCAGCTCTTGGAAAAATGCGTATAGTTTACTTTGGGTAAAAGCTACAGCTTAGTTCAATATCACATTTTGTAAAGAATTGTTCACTCTACGAAACTACGGAATCCGAGAATTTTTAGCATCTTCACAAAGAAATTTGTATGGGTTAGCAGAACCTGTTTCTTCGCAGTTCAAAGTAACTATTTAAGCCTTTTAAAGGTCTCCTCACTTCTCTCGAACAAAAATAGACACAACATGTTTAGACCCATATCCAGAAAGAGCACGAAATTCTGGTCCTAATCCATAGTTTTGACTCATCTAAAAATGCTTTAAGCAAGCCAAAACAAATGAATATTTTGATCAGAAACTTCGATCCAAACGTTCCGTCCAAATTAATTTGTTGGGTCTTTCAAAGATTATTTCACTACACTCGAACAGAAATCGACATAAAATTTCTAAGGACATATTCGGAAAGATCAGAAAGTTCTGATTCTAACGCATAGATTTTGACTCGTCGGAAATACTTTCAGGTGAGTCAAAAGTGAACAAACATTTTGTCCAAGTAATTTTCGATCAACCGTTATATCACTTCTAGAAAAAATACGTAAATCGAGCGTATCTGAGAATACCTCTATGAAAAAGCAGGAGTCACTTCTGGTCTAATTTTTTTTACTCGCTTCCGATTAAAGACTGGATCGAAAAATATAGTCGTACAGGAAAGCCCATAATGAAGGAAAATTTTTGGTATGGCAACTGCCACACCTTGCCATCATGGTGGCCCGCCACTGGCAACAGTTTTCGTAGCTGCCATTACTGGTCTTAATGGATAGTTTGTTTTATGTACCTTAGGTAATCCATAAATTCTAGCAGGTCGTGAACCTGATGGTTTTGCTACGTGATATTCTTTCTCTGTAATGAATTTTTCTTTTTCTAATTTTAGCAATAAAGTTGTTAATTGGTTTTCATTGTTGATCGTTGGATCATGATCAATAACTTTAAATGTTAATGAATCATTTCATATTTCTTCCATCTTTTCAATATAATCCGTACGGTTCATAAGCACAACTCCTCGTCCTTTATCAGGTTTCGTTATTATGATCGACTGATCTTTAGCAAGTTGTTTCAGCAAGTTAATTGATGATTTATGTTGTTCTCGCAATGTTTTTAATTCAATTTGTGCTTTGTCTTTTATCATATTTGAAATGGATCTTATCTGACAAGCAATATTCAATTGAGCAGGTGTAAGTTTATGAATTACATTTTCATCTGTTTGTTTTTGTTCATAGTGTCGATAATCCGTTCTAACATTCATAAGTTTAGCATAAAAATGTTCTATATTACATATAAATCCTGTTTGATCAAAAACTCCTGATGAATAAACGTGATGTAACCCATTAGCAAGTGCATTCATTTCATCGATACTTAATATTTTATTTGACGGGTTTGTTACGGGTTTCATATAAAATGATGTTGGTGGAGCTGGGAATGTTTGATTTATATAATTATTAATACCAAAAGGTGTTGGTAATGTTTGGTTCATATTATTATTATTAGACGATGATAATGATGATATTTGATTTATATTGTTATTATTATTCAATGCTATTGACAATGTTTGATTACTATTATTATTATTAGAGGATGATGATGATGATGTTTGATTCATATTTCTATTAGATCTGAGCTTTTCAAGTTTTGTGTCATATATTTGAACAACATCTGCCATTTTATTATATACAATTTGTTGCCTTATTGTTTCAAGCCGTACATAGATGAGATGTGGAACATATTCTTTTACTGTATTTCTAAGCCGAATGAAATGTCTATATGTTTGAGTATATACTTTCTTTTTAAATTTCATGTCAGCTTGAAGAATATTAAATCTAGATTATCTAATTAATTTTGAACCATAAAATGAGTGATTAGCTAATCTGATTCTAATCAAATTTGGCAATAAGTTTTCACGTTTACATGTTCGAATAAAATTTAAATCATGTCTAAGCTTGTGCAGTCGAAAGTGTGTTTTTACACATTCATCAAAATATTTCATAATTGAAGCCCCATAATACCGCCACAAATAATCATAAACATTTTGGGTGTGGGTGTGGGTGTACGTCAGTGTGTGCCTCTTCTATTTCAGCACACCGATACCCACACCCCCACCCCCACCCACCCACACCCACACCCACACCCACACCCACCCACATCTACACCCATCCCTTATTACAAGGGCGGCCACAAACTACTTTTTTTCATATAACTCTCCATACAGTCAAGGGAATAATTAATGAAGATCTGAAATAGGAGTGTCTAAAGGAATTTGATGGCTTTTTCGTTGAAAGATTTCTTTGTTAAAATGAAACTACAGACTTTAGAAGAAGAAGACTCGGTGAGAACCTGAGTCTCCAAAACGCGCCTCTCCTGCTTACGACATCATATATACTAATGCACGTAACTTCTTTTTCTTTTGTTTTCATTTTTGTATTTCTCTTCTTTTTCTTATCTCTTTTAATTTTTAGTCACTGATAAATATCAGAATGTGTGAAATAAGGTAAGTACAGAATGGATTGCACCCATGCGCACACCATAAATGTAACTATCAATGGTTACGATTGATCTTAAAAACAAAATACTGACATGAAGCTAAACCCGCATCAATGCTCCCTCTCGCATTCACGTCCACCTGACATTGAAACTATGATTAAGAATATCAGTAGATTATATTTATAGTTATGAAAGTAGGCACATTAATTTTTTTGTTACGTCAATCAGGCTTGATTGAGTATGATAATTCAAAGCGAACGTTATTTCTTTCAAAAAAAAATTACTCGGGAGGCGGAACGTTTTCTTCGAATTCTCCCTCCATATTACCCTCCGGACCATACTGACAAACAACAACTACTTGTCTACCGTTATTGCTGAAACCCACTCCAACACCTAATTTCGTTGATTGTTTCCAAATGACTTGAGTAAAATGACCAGTTCCGCTTGAATATCCGGGATTATCAAAGTCGTAATCTTCGATTTCATCATACCAATTTTTAGTAGCGATCTCACCTGAGAGAGAAAAAGTTACTTTTTCAAAAATCCAACCCTTTGAACATACCGAGATGTTCATTTCTTAATGATTGTGTGCTACTCTGCGTATACAAGTTTTCACCGAGGCCATCACGATTTGTACTGTGCTCGAGTAGATTATTTGCTGCCAAATAGTCAGCATAGGCCTGAGCTTTGCGACTAATCCTCTGATCGAGTACCATCGGAGGAACACCATGGTGAGCTCGAAATTCATTGTGCGCCTCTAAAGCTTCCTGTTCCCAATTATTCGATTTGCCATCACTTCTTGTCGAATCTTCGTCTAGTATAAACAGAGTTCAATTGACAAATAATGATCCTCTTTTATCAAGTTCGAGTACTTACTATTGTCTTCATCCTCGTCTGTTTCAGGTCGTTCATCGTATTCATCCTGTTCGTCCCCACTCATTATTTGTTCGATGCTCTATCAATATTCAAGTTTAATATATATTAAGTTCATGAACACCGATCTATTCGGAGTACAGTAAATCGTTATCAATCACAAGTCAAATAAGGAATTTATAATCTTATTTAAATTTGAATTGGTAGAAGACCAACCATAATTATGACTGTAGCATTTCTATCGATCATGACTAAGATATTTAAGTCTCTGAAAATGGGCAAAATATTGAAGAACAACCTAAAGATCTTTGTTTCATCTCTTATAACTCTTTTGCAGAAACTCTTTCTATCATGCTTAGTCATTATTTGTATATCATATTAAGTATTTTTTTTCTCGAAGTTGTTCTCTCAGTATACTTGGAAAGATATACTGGCGATATATCATTTGAGTTTTCCGTATCATCAAAATATTTTTCATACGATAGGTTATCTTTTTTTTTCTGAAACGAAAAACTCTAAATAAAGAGTTACTTATTGCTATACATATGTAAAGATAGCTGCACTCAGTTTCGTTACCATTCGAAATAGTTGCTGGGAAGAACATGCATTTCTATTTGATTTTCCGTTTATTTTGTTATTAGACAAAGGAAAATCATCTAAATATTAGTACATACATCAGTCATTCAAAAATTTGTCTAATGTTCAATATTTTAATTGTATTATAATGTGCGCATCATGCTAGAATCGTTTAATTTTACTACTATTTCAATTGAAAAAGCCGAGTAGAAACTATTTTCTATTTTGTTGAAAGGAATTGATAACTAATAATGAAGCAATAGTTGTGTATGTTGATTGATAGCACGTGACTATTTGCAGTTTGTTAAGTCAAGTTGGTTTCTCATGCATGCTCATATTCTAAATAATTTTGTTACATCTGTAAAAAAAACTATCAAAGACTTGATTTTCCATCACATATCGACTATTAAGGGCATCGTATTCGTCAAGAACACCCAAACTATTTTCGATGATCATAATATGAAATAAATAGAATTCTTTAAATAAAGTTTGTTCACAAACAGCTTCATTCAGATTCAACACAAAAAAAGCATTGTTCAATTGTGCTGCTGAATTGTGAATCGTTTCGCTTTGAATAGTATAAGGAATCAAATAGATACGTAAAATATTTTTACTCCATATCAATTAATTAAGTACATTGTAAATTAGACTTACCTTATGATATATACGACGGAAATTATGAGTAAGTCAGAAATGAAGAACAACTGAAACAAATGAGTAATATGTGTAGCAAATTCATCACCTTATATAAGCTATAAAAACTTCAGTATATTGAATGGGTTATTTCACACGAAAATTTGATAACGTCTTTATCAAATGCGCAATATTTGCATGTTGTTTTTTTTATTCCTAGGCCTGGGTGTGGGTGGGCGTGGGGGTCGGGGTGGCGGTGGTGGGTATGGATATAGATGCCAAGTGTTGCGTAAGGCACACCCACACCCACACCCTCGAAAAATTAAATTAATAGTAAGAATGAAAACTCAAGGGCAACATACGAAAAGGTTAAAATAAAAAACAATATTGTTATCATGCTAACAGATAGGGTA